AATATAAATAATAAAATATTTTTATATTTATAAAAAAATATTAAACTCAAATTCATGAAAGTATATGTTAAAAAATAAAATGTAATCATGTTACTTTAAATAAGATTAAAAAGAATAAAAATATATATAAAAATATAAAAAGAGACGTGTTATTTTCTTTTTTAATTTTATACTTTTCAGGTAACTATTGAAATAAATTTGTTTAATGAGTAAACCAGAAAATAGGGAGACATATATACATATGTGTATATAATTTAATTCATTTTTTAATAATTCATAATTTATAAAATTAAATACTTTAATTTTTGTTTAAAATTAATTTTGTAAATTTTGAAGGAAAATATGGAACTTTTCATTTACATTCCGAAAGAAGGTAAAAATGATGGATCATGAAGGTAAATTAAGGATGCTTTGTTGCTTTATTGGCTTCACTCCTTCCTTTCGTCTTATTAAGGGAAAGAACAAACACATATCAATATTCCTTAACCTTACTTTCTTTCTCATGGCATCATCTTGAAAAATTAATTTCCTTAATTTTGTATTAACACTTGATTAGTAAATTGTTTTGTCCAATTAAAACGCCCTGAGAAAAGGAAGAACAGAGTTAAAAAAAAAAAAAGAGGAGACTTCAACATGTATACACCTTGTTTTACAAACTTAATTCATCTAAAATAATTTTGAAAAATGAATATAAATTTACAAAAAATATTATAATCCTATTAAAATTTAGAATTAAATCAGGAAATATCTTTTTATTAATTCAGTAGGCCCAGGCGTATCCATTTTCCCAGATGCTACCACCCGCGTAAATTTCGATCTTGTTCATCCGGGTAAGTGGGTAACAAGAAGAATCACAGAGGAACGACCGAGGAAAAATCGATTAACGATTCTTATGTTAATGGATTGACACCTTTATCCTCATTTCATCTCTCTCTGTACTCCCCTCTGGCCCTCTCCCCCTCTCTCTATTTCTCTCTCTCTCCCTCCTTTGAAAGTCTTGCTTCACCCACCAAGCCCGGAAAATCTCAAAGAGGAAGAGGGGGGAGAGAGAAAACCATGGAGAGGTTAATTTGCTTGAACCCTGTATCCTCCAAAATCCACCTTAGGCCCTTTACTCACCACCTCCCTCGACTCGGCGGGCTTGACGCCGGGAAACTCGGTATTCCGCGGCCGTCTCTCTCTGAGTCACGGCGAGTCTGCTCGCTTTCCTGCAAATTCGAAGACTACAGCATATGCCCCGATTCGATCAAAACGTCGTCGTCTCCAACACCTCCTCCCCTCGCGGATTCACCAGATGTGTCCAGGCCCACGAGTTATCTTCTCCAGCAAAATGGGGAGAAATCTTCTGGGTCAAAAAAGGTATGAACTTGTACGCGATTGTGATTGGCTGTAGAAATGCTTTTTTAGGAGCATTTTTGTTTTTGGAGTAAATTTTTCTGCTGATGAATAGATTTATGGGAGATTGGGGGTTGGTTGTTGCATCTCGGTGGCCTGCATTTCTTCCAATTTGAGTGTTTTGCTTCTTTTCTCGTACAATTTACCGCTTTTCGGGTGCTATAGCTTTGGTTGTAGATTTTTTTTATTGCTGTAGAAATGCTTTTTTAGGAGCATTTTTGTTTTTGGAGTAAATTTTTCTGCTGATGAATAGATTTATGGGAGATTGGGGGTTGGTTGTTGCATCTCGGTGGCCTGCATTTCTTCCAATTTGAGTGTTTTGCTTCTTTTCTCGTACAATTTACCGCTTTTCGGGTGCTTTAGCTTTGGTTGTAGATTTTTTTTATTGCTGTAGAAATGCTTTTTTAGGAGCATTTTTGTTTTTGGAGTAAATTTTTCTGCTGATGAATAGATTTATGGGAGATTGGGGGTTGGTTGTTGCATCTCGGTGGCCTGCATTTCTTCCAATTTGAGTGTTTTGCTTCTTTTCTCGTACAATTTACCGCTTTTCGGGTGCTTTAGCTTTGGTTGTAGATTTTTTTTATTGCTGTAGAAATGCTTTTTTAGGAGCATTTTTGTTTTTGGAGTAAATTTTTCTGCTGATGAATAGATTTATGGGAGATTGGGGGTTGGTTGTTGCATCTCGGTGGCCTGCATTTCTTCCAATTTGAGTGTTTTGCTTCTTTTCTCGTACAATTTACCGCTTTTCGGGTGCTTTAGCTTTGGTTGTAGATTTTTTTTATTTTTTATTTGGCTCGATATTCAGTTCTTTTGTTGTTGATAAATAAGCAGGCAGAGAAATTGATGTATATTCGTGCCATACTTTAGTGGAGTTTCATTCTTGGAGATGCAAAAGATAGTTAGTATGCACCAATTTTGTTATTCAACTTGTAAATTAAGCTTAAACAGCATTGATTTCAAAGGTATTTTATTTTTGCGTTTAAGCTTGGAAAGTAAATTTGCTGGACTCACCTCAACCCATGACAGGCAAGCAACCTAGATCTTGTCGTGACCAATAGTTGGATCATTGTTTTTGGTTTGCAATAAGTTGCAGCCTTTTCATGTGGTTTTTTCATAAATAACCAACTATAAGATTTTCAATAACTAATTGTTTGTAGTTTAAGACGTTAAAGATCCAAAAAGCTTCGACCTTTTAGAGATCAGACAAGGCTCACTCTCTCATAATGGAATAAAGTGGGATCAAGTAATGAAGTTGTAATACACGATTATTTTCATTTTAACCATAGCTTTGAGTTCTTGGGATCTTGATTATTCCGTACCTCATTTCTCCTGCAGAAAGAATAATTCAGGTACTAGTTCTCTTGCTTTGTCCGATCATTTTATTCTGTTCTGTTAACACGTCTTTGGTCCATAAGCAAAGCCAGTTCGTTGCTACTATATTGTTGAAAAGCCTCACCAAGTATGGGTAAATAAGTTGTTGAAAGTTAGTAGCTAGCTTTTCATGCATGAGGTAGGTTGCAGCAATGGCGCCAACTAATATTAACGTCACACAACCACTTCAATCATAGAAAAAATTCAAAAATTTCCACTTTAGCTGAAATAATTGGAAAGGCAATATGGGGGCAATGCATTTTTAATTTGGGCATAAGCTTCTTCTTCCATAAAACCCAATCTCCCATCCTATGTCTTTGGATGCAAAGCTGGTATTATGGTTGCTTATAAATTTTTAGCTCAACTCAATTCAAATGCTTGAGAAGCACAAAATTCTAGGTCTCTTATTTCAAAATGGTCAATCACCTTTCTAGTTTGAGCAATATCTTCCATTAATGATGATTTAGTTGTCTGCCCTTGGATTATTTGGATGTGTTTTATATCTGAAAATGGCAAAGTTTGTTTGTCACCTTAATTTTTTGAAAGTTTCTAAGGAATTGCATTTGGTGTGCACTCTACTCCAGTTCTTGTTCTTATATATATAATTAAAAATATAAGCAATATATGGTTCTTCTATTTCTTGATTCCATCATTTATGCTCTCATCAGAATACTTGTTACCAATGACAAGGCTTTAGTTAGCCTGTGGCAGTTGGCTAAACATTCTTTAAGATGCCTGCATAATGATCTCTAAACTTTGAGAATTAATAACTAGTTATTTCCTTGGTTTAGGGTGGGTGTATTTTTATTATTATTTTTAATTGCTTGAAGTAAAAAAGGGAAAAAAAAGAATCAGTTATTGGATTCTGATGGTCAGAGCTAATAGATATTTGCATGTCCATAGCCGAGATGCTGGTGTTATTGACAGGGGGTGAGTTTGTTCCCAGCATTTTAGAGTCCTTAACTGTCTTCATGGGGATGGGAGGCTGTGGTGAAGAATAAATTTGTAATGAGGTTGAACTGTCAAAAAGACGTGCAGCTTTGGCCTGTTAGAGCTAGTAGTTATATTAGCACAAATTTCATATGTGAAATTTGGAGTTCAATTGAAAAGATATATATGATAATTACTTAGGTTTAGGTTGACCAAAGCTCTCTTTGCCACTAAGCTCCAGTGAGTTTTGAGGCCCTGTCTTGTCACATATCCTTCTTTACAGCCTCATTTGTATTTCTTTCTTTGCATCTTTAGTTAAATGATTATGTTGATCTGAACTTTTGTACCTTTGAGTTCTCTGTCATTGTCTCCAAATGAAATGCATTGATTTGGTTCCAGCATAATGCAGTCCTGGTAGGCAATTGGTGATTGTTTTCAGAAAGTGAAGTTGCTGGAAGACTTGCATCTGGGATTTTATCCCTCATGAATTTAAACAACTAAAACCTTTTATACATGGTCTTATCTGGAATTTTCTTAGAAGGTACAAACTTAAACAACTGGGCCTAAGTTTCTTTGTGCTTCATTTCAGCATAATTGGACTGGTATCCTCTGTCTAATTTGTTTATGATATTACCCTTCAATATCACATAAACCTCTAATTACTTTCCTGTTGCATAATGCTAAACTGCGAGTGATTGGCACTGGGTTATTCAGTCATTGCTGCACTAAATATAGGTGCATTTTCAAGATAATAACAACTATGTTCAAATGTTAGAAATGTGATTTACACTATGCATTGCTATTCAATTTGTTGATGCTTAGAGTTTTCTGGCCTCTCTAATGACCCGAAGATGTTATTCTGGTCTACTCCATCCCATATGAAGCCAAGACATTTTTACTTTGCAGTTGCAGTATGTTCTGAGAGGGATTATGTTTAGGAACCAACTTCATGATTTTTAAGGTTAAACTATTCTGATCTAGCATTATGTGTCTCAAACAGGAAAACGGCTTTTCCAAACAGAAGGATGTGGTGCGTATATTTGATTTTTTTTTATCCCTGCAGTGATGATAGTCTTGTATGCCAAATGACGCTTTGGAAGGGTTGACTTGGGGCAATGGTTTTGGTTCTCTTAAACAGTTTAATAATGCATATATTTTATCTTTTTCCAAGTGGTTTTGGAAATAGCCTTGTACACATGTAACGGACCATAGTGATGGCCCATTCACACGAGCGCGCCGCAACGCGAGGCGGCGCCGGAAGGATCATCATGGTGATGATGAAGACCCGACTCATAGAGAGAGAAATGAGGCGCCAACCGGGAGCATGGCGGCCAATGAGAGAGTCGGAACCGGGAACGATGGGGGAGAACGGTTTGAAGGTGAGCTGGGCATCGAGGCAAAGTCATCCGGGAGCCATCAAGGGGAGATGGACTGAGGGCAACCCCCGGGAAGCAGCCAAGGCGCAGAGCAGCGGAGCACTAGAGCGCCGAGGCGCGTCATGCCGTGCCACGAGGCACGTTGTGCTCCAGACAATAAGCCACGCACGGAAGCTTCCAGAGACAAGGCTGACGTGGCAGACTGGTCACTGATGTGGCAAACGGTGCAGACGTGGCATGACAGATCAGCTGCCAGCTCGGATGACACATCGGACAGACACACGCCAGGCACACGAGCGGCACACACAGGAGCGTGCCAGGAGCACACCGCACCTCAGGCCGCGGCGCGCCCAGGCATGTGGGGCTCACGCTGAGCACTGTGCCACGGGGCACAGCGCGTGCCGGCGCGTGGCGCGTCGCGCCATGAGGCGCGGCATGACCCTTCCAGATGCGCTCAAGTTTTCTAGAATTCTGCATATTTACAGAATTGCCATTAGTTTCCTCTATAAGTAGGAGCCTCCCCCTCCCATTTGTATCAATCCAAGCTTGAGAGCAATAAAAGAGTCTCTTGTACTTTTTGTCTCTAAGAGTGTTTCTCTCTCGCTCTCTTGTGTTCTTTGAGTGTTCAAGAGTGAGTTGGTAGGGCCTTTGGGAACATCTTCCTAAAGGCTTAGTGAGAGTGAGGAAGTGAGCTTGGGAGTGCTAAGGCTAGACTAGAAGCCTTGCCCTCTCTTGTGATAAGTGTGAGAGTGGTTGGCTTGCTAGTGTGCCGCACGAGGGTTTGGGTTGGTTTTGGCTCTTAAGTAGCCTTGGGCCTCCCAAACGTCGTGACACACACACCATGTCCTTTTATCCTAGTTAACCCTTTTAGATGGCTTAGGCAAGGACATGTGACTCAAGAAGTATAGATATTTTATGTAATGGATAATTTTCAGTAGGTTATGAACAGAATGTAGAGGTTTTGCCCATGCTAGTGTGTGTGTGTGTGTGTGTGTGTGTGTGTGTAATGTTGATCTCTCACCTTATCTTTGCTCTACTCTTTCCTTTTCTACTTCTTTGCTTTTAAAGTATGTTATCTTGCAAGCAACATGAAATTTGGTTGATTATCACTGATGCTGTCTAATATGTTTCTTTTGTATCTTATATATTCTCACAAAATACTTTCTATTTAAATGTTTCAGGCAGTTGTTGCTGGAACAGTTGTACTACTTTCTGCTCTCATTATGATATCAGTGCACACCATCGTTGTGTCCCCAGCATTTGCTACATTTCCAAATGCTGCTAAGGTGGGAGCTGCAGCTGCAGCTACAGGAGCAAGAGCAGTCCATACCGAATTGCTAAGCAGTGCCTGGACTGGTTTTCTTGCTGGTTGCTTGCACACATTATCCGGGCCCGACCACCTTGCTGCTTTGGCCCCACTCTCAATTGGCCGAACCCGAATGGAGAGTGCTGTAGTTGGAGCCCTATGGGGTTGTGGCCATGATGCTGGACAAGTCATTTTTGGCTTGCTCTTTCTTCTACTAAAAGATCGCCTCCATATTGAAGTAATTAGGACTTGGGGCACCCGAGTTGTGGGTCTTACCCTACTTGTTATTGGTGCTATGGGAATAAGGGAGGCTTCAGAGGTACCTACTGCATGCGTGGCCCTGGAAAATGGAAAGTGTGATGTCAGCATGCATGAAACTCTTGAAAGTCCAAAAGTGGGAAAGAAGAAGGAAGTTGGTTTTGCAACTTTTGCAACAGGGATCATACATGGGCTTCAGCCGGATGCCCTTATGATGGTCTTACCTGCACTGGCTTTACCTTCTCGCTTGGCTGGTGCTGCATTTCTAGGCATGTTCTTGTTAGGAACAGTAGCCGCAATGGGAAGTTATACTGTGTTTATAGGCTCGTGTAGTCAGGCCTTGAAAGATAGGGTTCCTAGAATAACCGAGAAGCTCACATGGGCATCGTCACTCATAGCAATCGGTCTTGGACTTGCTATCATCATTAGTCAGTTTTTTGGTTTTAGCCTTTATTGATTCGAGTTTGGAGGTTCATGAGTTTCCATCTTACATTAGGATAGGTTCTAAGAGTAATTCATGGATTTAGTTTCCTACTTATTTTAATGAATTTAGCTTATATTGATACCTGCTTTCAAAATTGTAATTTCATACGGAACATTATGTTCTGCATCTGAGGAATCTTTGTAAATTTACTTTTATCAGAGAGTTCATATCCGGCAGAAATTTGCTCCAATGATATTGTTTCTATAAATGATGTGGGATATAGATATAAAAAATAATAGCCTCGTGAATTTGAAGCAAGGCTGTATTCAAACCTAATGAGGCCAGGCAAGGTTAGGTTGAACTAGCTCATTTGTGAAAGGAGCTGAAAAATGGAGCTAAACTGAAACTCAAGAACAGGTCCGCACTGGACGTGGGAAAGGGCTCTCAGTCCTGCAAGAAACTTGCACAATGAAACAAACGAACAAGAATTATCTTGAAAGCATTCTACCTAGTGATGTAGAAGGGTTAGAATGTACAGAAGTAGCATGGATGCTGTTATCTCAATTCTATATTCTTGAGCATTTCAGTCTGTTAATTTGTTATTGTTGTGAGGCCCTTTTAAAGCTCGTGTATCATGTAATCGAGCTAGCTTGATAAGGGTTTTGTTAATTTGATTCTTCGGGTGCCTGGAGCAAGAGCATGTTGGTTCTCATAAGGCCCAAGCCTTTTGATTGAAAAAGGAAAAGGCCCAAAAAGGACAATAAGACAATGTTAATGCTTAGTCCGCTTGGATTCGTATCCTGTTGTTCTCTTTTAATTGCGGTACTTAGAACAGAAAATAAAAAAAAAATTCGAAACTCAATTGTTTCTATATTATTTTCATTTTCAAGCAAAATTAATTTCTAAAAATTTTGAAAATAGTGGTTTTCTGAAAAGGGACATTTTCTTTTTGTTTTTCTTTTTGAAAATTCTCTAGAAGACATTTTTCGAAACAACCTGCCAAACAGATTTTCTGCTTTTCAAGGCAAATGCAGACAACGCATTCCACATATATTAAACAAATCAAACTCTCGGCAAAGCTTATCCTTAAATGAACTATTATTAAAGCTACTCAGATGATCGATGTGCAAAGTTGGTCGTGCCAACCGAAATTTGAGAAAAGTTTCCCCAACAGAAGCAATCATAAAGCAAATAGAAATTCCTGGATGGCCCAGAACAAATGACATCAGTGATAGATGCACATCAAGAGGGTTGCACAAGCCCTGCTGTTTCTGTCAAGGAAAGTATCTAGAATTCCCAAGCCCACACAAAATAAGAAACCATCTGCATTTCCGTCTATCAGGTAGTGTACAATAGCCCATTAAATCACAACAATCAGTAAGACTAAGAAAAGACACAAAGTCATACACTCGTCTATACCAACGGAGTCTTGTTCCATTTTTTTTTTCATTTTTGCTTTTTTTTCTGTGTGAGTAAAAGAGAGTCAAAATTTTCTTTTCTTTTCTTTTTTTTTTTTTCTTTTTGGTTACAAAAGAAAGTCAAATTTTTACTGTCAATCCAAGGAAAAAATAATGTAGCCATGATACATGAATTATCCACCATTTTTAGCATGTCCTCTTTTTACGCAACTGATGACGTAAAGCCATTGGGAAGATAAATAAGAAGAAGTTTGGGATTTTTTTCCGGAGGGCAGCTATGGCTTCTGCTTGTTGTTGATGTCATAATCCACGCATAAATCTGCTGCTGTCTTCATCTGAGATGATGAAACAAGTTCAAAATTAGTGAAGTACAACAACAATGAGAGTGCAAAAAGAAATGTACATATGCACACCAAGTAGATTAAACATGGCCGAAAATTCCAGCCAAATCATCTCCATCCTTGTATGTCAGTCAATCATGCAAAACACCAAATGAAGCTTGCTAGAAAAACTGTGAGAGCAAGAGTTGTAGTTGGTATTGTAAGTGTACAGTCAAACTGACTCGCACACATCTGCAATAGCCTCAAGGTGAAAGCACACAATGTGATGGAAATTGTGTTCTTCATTGCCCACCAAATAATAGGTAACAAAGCCAGGCATCTGAAACCCAACCGAGACACTTCAATACCATCAAAAATTTGAGAAATCTTACCTAAAATGATAGCAACTACACTTGTTTTGGGTAACAAGTATCTGGAACATAGTGAATCAGAAGTTTCATGTACCAAAACCACGTTTACTTTTGAAGCGCATTTATGACTATGATCTCATTTTTAATGACAATAACTAGTAAACATAATTCCTTTGACTTCAAGCAAAGATCCTAACCATTTATACGGTATATCTGCAAAATGAATTTTCATTTCTTGATATCTAATAGTCTGACCAATTTTTGTTACAAAAGTTCTTGGCAAAAACAAAACTGTTGAAATAACAAACAGAGCATCATAAGCGCATAAACAAATGCTATATACAAAGAAAAACCAGCAAATCCTCTGTATAACATCGGGAAGTTCATATCAACCAGCAGTAAGAATTTACCTATATCTAATAAACCTAACTTGCATTCAGGGTTACAGTGCTTTACAATGTCTTAAAAAAAAGGACAAATAATTTAATCAATGTTGAAAGAGTTAAAAATTTTTAGGTAGGTAAAAGGACTATAACTTTTTACCTGTATAAAATTTACAGCCTGCTTGATTGCCCACCCAACCAAAAGTAAAACAAGTAGAACAGCAAGAACCAGGTTCTGTCTTAAAGCATCCATTATAACCTAAAACAAATGTGTAAACCAAATAATCCATGCAAACCCTCAACAAGTCACAACTTTTGAGAAGAAAATTTAACATGGTCACCAAATTAAGCATTACCTTTGTCAGATCCTGATTCTGGCTCTTTGCAAGAAGGAACAGAGTTATGTAAAGAACCTACAGAGCCACTTCACTCAGTTTAGAGAAATGCAGCACAAACAAATGAAAGACCATTGAACAGTAGACCAGAAAGACATCTACCTCGCAGGCAACACAACAATAACCCATGAACATCCTATTTCCATAATAAGCTTTGAAAAGCCAATTACTGCTATCTTTTACATCCTTATGACTAGTTTTGCCTACCAAGAAAGTACTGCAAGGAAGAAGCACAGGAGGGGAGGGGAAGGGGTAGAAGTTAAAAACCCATCAAAAGTTGGAAAGTAGGCATGAAGAAGATATTGTAGTGCGTCAAACCTGTACATGTCTCCAAGTTCTACTCAGATATTAATTAATTTGACAGAGTACCTGTACATTTGCAGCCAATGGCTAGCAATATCCAGAGCAAGTAATGACAGGAAAACTATGCCAGGCCTGGAAAAACATAATATAGAGAACTTTTATTAAACCTTAAACTAATTTGGATGGGATTAGAACAAATGCAAGGCAAAGTACATTATACCTATACACTTGGGAGAGAATTACTAGAAGACAAGCAGTGCTAATCCTGAGACATTCGTTATCAAGGTGACCAAGTAAGAAAATGGAACAATTGAGTGCAGTTCTAAATGAAAGAAGGCAGTGGGGTAGAGGGGTGGATTAAGCCAGGAAGAGTTTAAGCTCACCGATCTGTCACCATGTCCAAAACAGCTCCAAAGGTTGAAACTGGAAATAAGTATTAAAAAAAAAAATTAACCGTACATGTGTATGGAATTGCTTAAGACCTGATTTATAACAATGCAAAATATCCACAGTTCATACTGGTAACTACAAACATGATGATCTCTAAAGTCGAAACAAGACAACTTTCTTTAACTAGTTTCTAGAGAAAAGGTCTTGCACCATGCTTTACTTACTATGAGCTTCATAGTAAGTAAATTTAGGAGGAAGGGCACATTTCACTTGTTAGCTGTTATATCATCAGTATGTGGTTGCATACAGTAAGAAAGAAATCACATTTAAGCCCAACAACATTAGCATTGACATGAAGAAAAACAGAGGCAGAGAACTTACAGCAATAAATAGGTTTAGTATTACATAGACATTGATATAATTGCAGTGTGTCATTTCTTATGTACAATATCTGGTCATTCCTTTTTCTGCTTCAAACCATGCATCTTATGGATATATAGCCTAAGGCTGCCTGAAATCTAAGAAGCTGCTCTATGCTGGCTTCTAGGGAGTCAGATACATAGGCCCAAAAGGCCATGTAAACAAAGAGACCCAAAATTTGGAATTGCAAGTCAACAAGTAGACCCAGATAGAACCATAAGAATTCAAACCTTGATTGAACTTGCGAGCAAACCAGCCATCCAATGCATCACAGACAAAGCTGAAACCACACATCAAGTGAATTAACACTTCTAGACACAATCAGAGGCTACAACAAACAAAAGAAATAGGATGTGAAACATGTATTTTCACCTTACAAAGTAGAGAACAGAGAAAAGCTTTTTGTCCGAATAGCTAATATAGAAGGCAAAGCAGTTCATGAGGACTCTCATGTATCCTGCATAAATATAGAAATTTAAAAAATTTCAGTAAACCCAATGGAAGAATGTGAATCTATAAGTAAACAAAAACAGGATTGTAAACCTCTTGCACGCGCATATAACCATCAGCATCTGGCAAATGGGCATGATACCAAAACCAAACTATATAATAGTATGAATTTCATGTTCCTAAAGATCTACGAACCCAGTAACCCAAAAAAAAAAAAAAAAAAAGATCTACGAACCCACATACAAACCCGAAAAAACCTACACTTAAGTAAATATATTTACAGAATAGCAACAACCCGATAATTCAGAGAATAAACCTAGCACAAGCACTATCCCAATCAAACAAATTAATAGAGAAATTCTTATCTGAATAGCACAGGAACGCCTAGTATTTGTATAATTTTTATCGTCCTAACTAGAAACTCACCGATCAGGTTGGGTACATAAAGGTAAACTGATAATTTTCCAGGTCTCGACTTGCTGGCCATTGAGAAAATCTCTGCGAATGAATCGAAGCTGCACGAACGCACACAAGCTGTCAAAATTTCACTCGATCGTGAACTTACACAGCAGTATCGTATTTATGTAATGCATATGGAAGGGAATGGGTAATAGCCGGTGACCGGAAACCTCACCAACGGCGACGAGCAGATCCACCTCCCCGGCACTCGAATCTACGGTTTTTTGGATCTTCCAGGATGAACCCACAAAAATTTTTGTATTCCGGAAAAGCACCGCTTTCGGAGGAATAATCCGCTGGGAATATGGGTCGGGTCTTTTTCAGTAGGGTCCTAGTATGGGTTCGAAGTTTGTATCTTTCCGAGAGACAGTGCGTAGATCCATTACTTGCTTCGAGAAGCGGGTAAATTTCCGGTTCGGGTACCGTTCGGACGGTGCGGGTTTGCAAGGAACGTAGCGAAATCATCTACTGTGGATCCGGATCCTTACCCACCTCATGGGATAAGCTCAAGGAAGCTGATGAGAAGAACATCTCCGGCCCTCGACATTTTATTTTATTTGAACAAAACCTCGTTACATTTAATTTGTTGTAAAATAATTTCCTAGCTTAATATGATATTGTTTATGCATTCAAATCCTGGAAGAGGATAGTCAAAGTATACAAGGAGGAATTAGTACAGCCGTCTCAGGTCTATAAGAAAAGTAGGATATATTAACTAACTCTTCGGCAAGTAGGGGTGTTCAACAAATCGAACCAAACCGATTAGACCGCATAAACCGAACCAAACCGTAGAGTGTGGTTTGGTTTGAATTTGATGTTTGGACAAACCGTATGAAACTGAACCAAACCGTATAGCTTATATATATACAAAATTAAAAATTTTATTTTTATTATATAGTATATTTTTATTGTTTGACTGTATATTTTTTCTTTTTATTATCTTTTATGTTTATATTTATTTTAATAATTGATTATTTTTCTTTTTTAGAGTGTAATTTCTATTAGTAACAGTGAAATTTTGTAAAATGATATAAATATATTTATTATAAAATGTATAACTACTATAGTTAATTAATAAATAATAAATTTATTAAGTTAAACATGTTGGGAAAAAAATGGATGACCAATTTTTATGAAAATTATGTTAAAATTTTTATAAAAATAGTGAATTTAATTCATTTTATTTTGTAAATTACAAACCGTGGTTTGAAACCGAACCAAACTGTAAACCGTGGTTCGGTTTGGTTTATAAAAATTTTAAACCGTAAAGTATGGTTTGGTTTGAATTTGAGTATCAAACTGCATCAAACCGAACCGTGAACACCCCTATCGGCAAGGTTCCAAGGAAAAAATGGTAGTGGATTAAGTTTTTTTCTCTTATAATGGGCTGCCCCACATACTAAATAGGCCCAATAAATTGGAAGGACAGTGGGCCGCATCTATTGGATCAGAATCAACCCAGCCCAGTACTCACAAGGTCAGGGGAAAAAAAAAATGAAATCCAAGTTCAGTGCAGCACAAATGCACCGAAAATGGATGCTTGGAGGATTATTAGAAGGTGCATGGCTGGAGGCCACGCTCACCCTAGGAGCAGAATAGGTATTGACAGACATGGTTTATCTGTACAATTCGGAGTTTTGGAGTCCTTCCACAAAGGGTTGGGCCAACTTAAATGTGGATGGACTTTGAAGTTTGAGCTCTAAAATTGTTGACTGTGATGGTTTGCTAAGAGATAGTGACGGGAATTAGATAAAAAAATTTATTTGACATATTGGTCACTCCTTACTCTTTCTGGCAGAGCTTGGGCATACGGGATGGCTTTTAAACTTGGTTGAAATCTGAGAATTAGAAGGGTCATCTTGGAGCCAGCTTTCACGGAAATAGTAAATTTAATCAATAAAAAATGAAAGTTATTTATCATAACATGGAAATTGGATTCATAACCAGTATTAGAATTATAATAAATTCTAACTCCGCAAATTTAATAGATAACTCAGAATTAACAAAATCAAAATCTTAAATAAAATTAGAAATAAAATTCAAATTCCCAACTCAACAATCAATACAATAGCAAAAAAAGCTTGTTCGTAATCAAATAGAGCTAACTAAAGAAAGTTTAGGAATACAAAGAAATATATAACTGAAAATCAAATGGCTAACTTTTACAATTGAGAAAGAAATACAGCAAGATCAACAAACTCCTCTCATGCAGAAGGAGTTGACTAAATATTAAGCTCTGAATCTTAAAAATAATAAGGGGTGAGTCAACAAACCTAAGGTAACAATCCAATTTATTAATTTTTTTTATTTTTGGTTATTAATTAAGTTTAAGGGCTTCATTGCATAAATTAAAAGAAGTCAAGATCAAATTGTAATTTTGAAAGGGTGAAATTGAAGAAATTATGAGACTAGGGGGCTAAATTGTCAAATCAAAAAGTTTAAGGTTAAATTAAAATTGTCAAGGGTTAAATTGAAAGAATTAAAAGAGGCAAGGACTTAATCTGAAGCTCAGAGGGATGAAATTGAAAGAAATCAAAGTTTAGGGGACCGAATCGAGAATTAAACTTATAGGTTTAGTCCAACAGTGGACCGAACACTATGCAAGCCATATAGTGATCATGGTGGCCAATTTTTGGCTTAAAAGTTGGCTTTGGTGTACAACACAAGCCATTGCACAATTGCCCTCAATCAATTTTGAGTTTGAGAGAAAATTTTGAGAGAAATTTGAGTTGGTTCAGCCAAAAGGTTCACAGACAACTGGGTGAGGTATTTTGTGATTTGATGCTATTTCGACAGATTATTTTCCAATTAAAGGCTCTCGTTCGAGTCATCTAAGCTTGTTGTACCATTTTTGGCTTCAGATCAATCAAGGTATGCCATTAATTTCTGTAATTTCTTGTAATAACCCTAGTTGTTTTGTATAATCTTGGGGAATTTTTAGACTTAGGGGTGTGTTGGAACAAATCAAAAGGACTAGGGGTGTTTTTGTAAAATCTAGAAGTTTCGAGGGCAAATTCAGGAATTTGGGACGCATTTGGGAGAATTTAAAGAGGGGAGATGCAGAGTGGAAGGGTGAACAAATTCGGGGGCCAATCTAAAAATTAAGGGGGAGTTAATTGAAAGAAAACAACTTTTGTGGGTCAGATTGTGATAGGGGGGAGGACTTTTGACCGGAACCCAGCTGAAGGTCCTTGAGGCAAAATTTGCTCCAATAGGAGCAAGATAGCTTCCTCGACCTTGGGTATTTATGCATGGATGAGAGGCGAGCTTGAGAGGGTGAGCAATTTGCGTTTTATAGGAAAAATCAGAGAAAAAGGGAGCTGGGAAGAGCCGCAGCATGCGATGGGATGTTTTGGGGAAAAATTGAGTTTTCAGGAGCATCTCTCTGATTAAAGCTTGGTAATCAGTTTGGGAGCCTCGGAATTCCAACTTAAGGGGCTCGATTTGGCTAGGTAAGCTCGAATTTCTGGTTTATTATGGGATTTTTGGGTTTTGAGGGTTACAGGGGATTCGGGTCAGATTTGTCTTACCGAGTGAAGAAAAAGGGACCCGTATGGGTCCGGGCCCCTTTTAGGGTCGGTCCAGACTGTTGGGCCCAGATTCGGCCTAGTGAAAAAAAATTGGGGGTTAGGTTGTCTTAATAGTGTGAACCAACCAGTGTTGACCGAAGAGTTGACTAGCTGATTTAGGGCTTTTTAGATCGGTTCTCTCGGCAAGTGGACCGGTTCCTAGTGCAGGGGGATGAGGGTTATCAAACCAGGTGATTTTGAAAAATTTTGGATGGCCGATTCAAGGTGAACCAGTCAGTTTAGTGTAGCACCTTTGGATGCTCAGTTCACTGGGTTTTAGGCCAGTTCCTGGGGAGGTTGAACCGGTTCCTGGCTCAACATGATGAAACCTAGCTAGCCATATAATTTGGTGATGTTTGGGTGTCCAGTTCAAGGTAAATCGGGCTCGGTTCAATGTGCTGGTAGTTAGGATTAGGGTTCTTGGCCCGATTCAGGATTGGTTTAGGGGTTTTTGGGTCTTCCGAATCTGATTTTAAGGGTCTCATGGCTGGTTCAGTTCGGCTTGATGTAGTTTTAGACCGATTTAGGTTGGTTCGGGGTTTTGGAGATTAGTTCACTATGGTTCGAGGATTGTGGAGGCTAGTTCATTATTGATGAGGGTGGTTGAGTAGAATTAATTAATATTCATGAGTTATGTGGGCCTTGATGTTGGGTAGTGGTGCTTCAGGATGCATGTTAGGAGCCTAGATATGAGAGAGATGCCGGGCCACTTCTGATGAATAAGTCTTTTGGAGTAAATTTGATTTCGATTATGACTTGCGACTTTGTGATTGTAGATACGTCTGAGGAGGCGTGCTTTGGCCTGTGAGCCATCTATTAGAGTTTTTGGATATTGGTTTTGACGTGTCTGATGAGTGACAGTACTGTCTCTATACATGTTTCTGTACTTTGGTTTTCTGTTAGTTTCTGTGTTCTGATTTCTAAATTATGACATTGATTCAGAGACATGTATCTATCTGTTTTAAATTACGATAAGCTTGAAAATATTTCTGTAATTATTTACATACCTGCCTTGGTAATACGTGCATTTTTAAAAGTTAACTTGTCAGGAGTTTTATGTGATTTTAATTCTGATTCTGGTACAAGATCCTGATACGATATGTGATTTGTGTGATCTAATTTTGAGGAACATGGCGGTGTTCCAGCACTATGTGCCTTTTGTCATTCCAATTTTGGTTCTGATTCTAATTCTAGTTTTGGTATAAAATTCCGGTATGATATGTGTAATATGTGATATGTGTCACATCCGGCATGATACACTCTATCAAGAGGAAAGATTTTGATTCTGGTTCTGGTACAGAATCCCGGTATGATATGTGATATGTGCCACCTCTGGCATGATACACTCTATCGAAGGGTAAGATTCTGATTCTAATTCTAGTTCTGGTATGGAATCTCGGTATGATATGTGTGATATGTGATATATGCCACTTCTAGCATGATATGCTCTGTTAGGGGATAAGATTCTGATTCTGATTCTGGTTTT